GTATGGCCCCTGCAATTAACTTTTTTTGAACTGTAAATAAACTTTGAATATTTATTTATATAATATATTTTTTACAATAGTAGATGGTCGACTGTTAAGAACCTTCTTCAGGTTAGCAATTTTCACGTACAGGTGGCGCTTAAAGAAGGAGATACTAGTATGCAATATTTCTGTCAGAAAAACAAAGCCGTGCCTCAGCCCACTTGGATGACTCAGGAGGAAGAATAGATTTTGTGAAACTGATTTAGCAATAGTCAACTCTTAACAATCAGTCAAAATAATCATCTGCCGGCTTGAATGGAGTATAAATTAAAAATGAATTTTTTAAAAAGATTTCAGAATATTTTCACAAGAAATTAAATTAAAACAAATTGAAGAGAATTTTAATAATAAAAATTCTTCCAAAAAATAATTCAATTATCAAATTTCAAGAATTATTAAAAATTAGACAGAACTAACCTGAGTATTTTGTTTGTATACTAAGATGATTCTCCCCCAGACTATGACAATTGTTAAAAACAAAAGTGTTAATAAGGAAAAGCAACAAATATTTTCAATTAAAATAAAAGACTATTTGCTAGGAACATTTTCTTGACACTACTTTTAATAAAATTTTTTTCAGTTTCATCATCAAGAATGGCTTCATATGACAACATAAATAATCTGCAAGAAATACAAAATAATATGTAACTATTCTAAATACAATTAGTTACACAAAACAGCAGCCGTTTTCCACAAAATGTTTTGAAACACACACAAGGCCAGCTGCTGATTACAGCAAAAATACATACTTCATAATATTCCATCATGTCACAGTAATAGGACACAATACATTAATATAAAAATACTGTTTCTTTCACCCTGAGGTGCACTTCCTATTCTCTTTTCTTTGGCAAGATCATCAAAAATTTAATGAGTTAAGGCCATCTTTGGATATCATTTAAAATACAATCAATAAATGTCTTTGTTCCCATTCGTATCTTAAGTACACTTCAGAAACAAAAATTTTTGTTTTTAAAACAAAATAATTAAAAAATTAACCACAATGACTTTTATAAACAAAAAAAAAAGAAATAGAAATACAGGTTTGTTTGTCTAAACAGTAAGTATAAGATAGTCCAAAAAGTGAAAGTAATCAAAATTAAATAAAGGCCATGGATCAAACTTTCATCTAATTAAAGTAAGTAGAACACTGAAATAATAGTTTATGGAATGTACTCAAGGATGCTTGAATCACACAACCAATCACAGAATTATGTTTCCTACTGTACATAATCCATCTTTTTCTTTAATAAATAAAAGCACCATTCCCTAAGCTAGTTCAACAAACTAGAGGTGAAAGTATTAATAACTGTAAACAATCTTCTATTCCAAATGTTGTTCTGGAAATGGTTCTTCCTTCACTTTCTCTTGTCAAGCACTAGGGGTCCGCTTCTTTACTCCTTCTGCAATTTTAGCCAGCTGTTCAGCCATTCCACGACCAGTCATTTGCACCATCTTGTAGAAATGGCCTTCAGTGTTTTGCAACAAGTCATGAGGATGTCCAAATTCCTACACAGCAGAATATTGTATCACTTAATGTTCACAAATGTTTTTGATAATGATTTTAGGATAGTCATATTTATTTTAAACAGTTAGGAAACTTCATAAAATAACATGGAGAGAAATGACACCATTTTCAAGTCTCAATGAGTGGCCATTCTCCGTTATTCTGAGCTTTAAAATAAACATCCTAGCCTTTTCCACTACCTACACAATGTTCCACAATCACTTTGCGTTTTCCATTTTGATAGTACCACACGAACAATACAATTGTTTTCTGAGATAATGGGCCATGGACAGGGAAGTAAGTAGGTTCTTGTAGACCCTGGTGCAGAAGGTTTGAATGGGCCCTGACTGCAAGTGAAACCTGGAGTTTTGTGTTTTGAAATTTTATAATTTACATAGATAAGAGGTGTATACAGGCATATAGTCTATATAGGTAGATGTATATATAGGTATACAGGCAATATATTATAAATTAGATTTAATCATTTAACTAGTAAAGACTTCATAAAAGGCATATTGGCATAAAAGGCGTATTGGCATAAAAGCCAATAAGGTTCCCATCTCTGGGACCCCATTCAGAAATGAGTTTCGAAAATTTTCGTCTGAAACCTATGTGATATAGAACAGGCAATAGCACTGAAATGTGATCAAAACAAACCATGTCAAATTGTTCTGTACTGCTGTTTAACATTACGTAGCAACAAAAAATTTGTGAATTAATTTTCTAAATATGGACCGTTGTTGAACTATGGACATCAGTCAAGTCTCTTAGCTGACAACCAAGCGAGTAAACAAACAGGGAATCTTGTGTACTGCAACCACCGTTGGTGGTTACATGGTGGTTACTCTGTGGTCAGCTGTGAATCCTCCCTCCTCCCTCCCCCTTCCCTCACCCCTCTCTCAACCCTTAACCCAACAATCCTATATTCTCTATTTTTTCAAAACAATTCTCCCACATGCAATTGTAGTAATACTAAGGAATGATCTCAATTAAATATTTGGTTGACTTTGCAATTTGTTACTAATTTTTTTATCATGGAATACTTTTAAAAGCTTTTCCAATAGGAACCCTTTATTAAGAATCGGTGGAAGAACTTAGGTTTAATCTTCAAGGTTGCACCAGCCTAGCTATGCCCCTGGCCATGGTCCATTGGAGAGTGTCTTTCTAAATATTTTATCCACACCTGCCATAAACATCCTTACTGGTGTCACAGTTGTAGGCAAAGTGGTCTGAACACTGATGATTGAGCAGTTTGGAACATTCATTTCAATATACCATATTTCCAACGGTCCAGAAAATAATACAATCATTATAGTTCAAGTATAAGTTAAATACTATTGTAAATTTTTGTATTGAGAAGTGTATCTTCACTCTCAGTAGAATATATTAAAATTTATTTGTGACATTCAAAATATTTATGCTTAATGGATCAACTTCAATATAAGTATACCAAAACTGTACACATTTTTAATAAACCTATTTTCTTAAAAAATTTCCAAAAGAAATTAAAAATAATTATTGTTTGTTGTTTTGTTTTTTTCAAACAAATCAACATACTGAATATTTTTTCTTCTGTAAAATAATTTTTCTTCCCAATCCCCTTCAATCAATTTTATATAGTGCCCATATATAGACAAGACACCAATCTTAAGACTTAAAATCTTAAGGGTTTGCTTTATTATATTGCAGAGAGTATAAAACCTCATAGCATAACTAGTGTTCCTTAACGTGAATATTGTTAGTTGTACACACCAATTGCATTGGTGGTATAAATAAGGTTAAATGAATTGTTTCACAAGAAATTACTTATAGAACTTAAATTATCAGGTTTCAATAGAAAAAAACTGGTCACAATCCACACTATAGCCTATAGGGCCTGTGCCATCCATTGTCCAATCAGTCAAAATATATTTTTTTTCTTAATAATTTTCATTTTATTTATTTATTGATTATATATTTATTATATATATGTTCTTTCTTTCTTTCTTTCTTTCTTCCTGTGTCTATTTATTTATAGAGAAAAGTATTAGAGAATAGTATTTACTTAGAATTATGCAAAGGGGTTCCTTAAGGAGTTTTCCCACCAGCTAATGTGTTTTCCATTTAGTACCAATCACTAATGACATAGGCAAATGCCAGAAAGTTCTCTGGCAGATATAGTAACTGAATAGCTCACAAGCCAAGCCAATAATACTGAGATGGGTACACTAAAATATGAACAAATAAATCCTTCTGTGTAAATAAATCCTTCTGTGTATATAAACATCTAAATAAAAAATTGTTACAAAGTTGTTCAAAAGTTTGTCATATAAGAAAAAACACTGAGCAAAGTATTTAGGAAAACTTATTTTTTGACTAATTACTCACCACCATGCATCCGCCGTCCATTACAAGGACTCGATCACTGTCCATAACTGTATGGAGGCGATGAGCTATTGTAAGTACTGTGCAAGATGCAAACTTCTGTCTGATTGTCCTTTGTATAAGTGCATCTGTCCTGTAACATGAGAAGGATTTCAAAATGCTGATTTCATTCATAACCCTTTCACATTAAAACAAAATTCTCATTTTAGACAATGTTTGGGAGGGGGACAAATTTGAAAAATTAAATCACAATAAAAAGTTCTCTATAGCCTTCGCGAAAGTATGTGCCCTCTCCATACTTGATTCTGCATTGTCTATCACCTCTAGGTAATGTAATGCAGTCTTGACACCCTTCAATGTCTTGCACTGTTGGAACATCACCCCACACTCTGAAGGCCCCTTTACTCACCTAATAATATTCTAGATTCTTTCGATGGTGGCATGGCACAAGCGGCTAATGAAACTGATCGCTGAATGAAACATTCCGGGTCCACCACCTCAGGGGAGACCTCTTCGACTATGACTTTTGGCCAACGATATTTTTTCCAAGCTGCTTAGTGATGGAATTTGTGGCTATGAGTCTGTATTTTTTTCTAGGAGGGAATTAATTTCCAGGACATATTTCCTACATTCACTATAGCTGAGGCTCTTTATTCACTAAAATTGAATTTTCTTATGCTCATTTGTAATGAAATTGAAACAGGACAAGTGACTTTATGTTCACTATAACCGGCAACAACAGTATTAGTAATGCCAAAAATATTTCAAAAAAATTATATTGGCTTAAAAAAAAAAGATATTATAAAATTATGTTTATATAATATTTAACAATGCATTTAGCACTATCCAGACAAAGATTTTGAAGAAAAATGTTGAGAAAAAAAAAAGAAAAGAAATAAGAACATAGACATGAATAAGTACCTGCGGTACAGCATAGGGAAAGTCGTGATTGCCTAAATATTAATTTGCAGTTTTTATGAAACAATCAACTGTGGACGTTTTCTATTTTAACTTTAGGAGAGAATATGGTAGGAGAGATATTAACACGAACAGTAAATAGGCAGTATAAAGAGAGAAGATCTAGAATACACCTGCGAAATTGATGATGCATGTGAAGATTATAGTAAGCTATAAACTTTAATTCTTGACCCGTACAGAATTATAATTATTGTATAGGAGAGATCTAAGATCTTTTAATGAGCTCATTTATAAGGTGAAACCAAAATTGTAATAGTTAAAGTTATTTATTTGGAAAAAAGGCTTAAAATTTGTAGCTAGTTGCCATCAATTCAAAATAAGTAGTTTTAATTAACAAGACTTCCAGAGATTTCAATTCTGTATAGATTTCACATACACATGAGACAGGTAAGAAGATAGCATGTTGTATGTCGAAAACCAGAAGCAAATGGAAATAGAATCAAGATAAACATTTCAGTGTAGGTCCTATTTATGAGTATAGCAGTGAAATAAATGATTAACATATTTATAGATAAATAGTATGAGAGTTTCCCTAGTGAACCCAAATAGGAAAGTTATAATATCAACAAAAGAATTCGATATTTTTTGATAGTTCACAAATTAGTAGGAAAGATTATTGTTATTTATATATTTATAATATGGGCACTTCATACAAAATACTTCAGGAACCATTTTTGCTTTCTCTCTATGCTTTTTAAATTCATTATTGTCGCAAGTAATGGCATTTTTATTCATTTAAACTGAATAAAGGTTACTAACTGAGGATCCACATTAGCTGTTGCTTCATCTAGCACCAGCACGCGATTATCTCTGAGAATTGCGCGAGCAAGGCACACCAGTTGACGCTGCCCAACACTGAAATTGGAGCCACCTTCTGACACCTTTGTGCTGAGACCAGCTGGTAGATCATGCACCATCTCACCAAGTTCCACCTGTAAAAAGCGTGAAGCAAACATAAGTAGTCTTAGTACCTTAAATAATAAATATATACATTAAAAACATTCCCTCTTTTACTAGGAACTCAAAGGTAACAAAACAAGACAGTGTGAGGCCTGAATTAGAGGGGGAGAGAGATTGTACGAGACCAAGAAGAGCAAGAAGAAAACTAGCCAAAAGAAGAAAGTAGTGGTGCTAGGACACCAGAACCTTTCTTGCATTATTTCTGTATTTGCAATTGTTGTAAATGTAGAGAAAAATGAAATCTGCACCTTATGTGTACACCATTCGCCTGTGTCAACCTGCGAATTTTGAGAACTTTTTTACATTTTATAAACTTCGTGCACATATATAAAATAACTACGCTAATTTAAAAAAAAAAAAAAATGTACATGAACTTTTTAAAGAGCTTCTTTCGAGATTTTTGTCTTAGACAATCCATTCTCTATCTTCAACTTTGTAGTTTTGAAATGTTAATAGTTGCAATAGTTTGCAATACATAGAGTTTGCCAGAAATGAGATTAGCATCAATTTTTTGACTGTTCATTGATACATACAAGAAGAAAATTTAATATGAATATTTAATATAGGTTACTCAAAATATTGACAATATACACAATGAAAATAGTTTTCATTCATTTCTGATTATCAGTCAAGGCACTGACTGATTTTGTTAGGGTCAATTGTCACTGTCAATTTTTGATTTGTAGATCGCAAGGATCTTCTTTATTAAGTAATCTCTTCTTTAAGAATTTTTAATGAAGAAAGAGCCTGGATAAATCTAAGAAACTTGAGATCTATGTCTGTGTGTTATATGTATCTGTATTACTTCAGACTTCCTCATAATGCGGCCACATTGAGACGGGAAATTGAGTTTTCATGCATTTTGATTATAATAAAATACTTCTGTTTTAAATACAGGAGTGCATTGATCGTCTTTAAACATTTTGAAGATTTCGGTGTTCTACAACATATCACACAGAAAATCACTGAATGATTTGTATTTGATTAGCAATGTTTATGACCGATTTTATCATCATCTTGTTTTAATTGAGAATAATACGAAATATTCAAAAGAATTGATGATTTCTTGAAATTATGCTGAACTATTATCAACATGAATCCTCATTCCGCCTTTTAAAACTCACCTCATCAAGAGCACGAAGAAGGGCTGCATCAGTAAATTCATCAAATGGGTCTAGGTTCTTACGAAGTGTCCCAGTGAAAAGGACAGGTTCTTGAGGGATGATGGAGATTTTCTGGCGCAAATCATGCAGACCTGAAGGAACAAAACTATCTTTACTTTCTTGCTATATGAATCATCACAATAATTGTTTATGGGATAAGTGGTTTAAGTCACATTTTATTTTGCAAAATTGTGCTACAAATTGTGCTACAAATTGTGCTACAAATTGTGCTACAAATTGTGCTACAAATTGTGCTACAAATTGTGCTACAAATTGTGCTACAAATTGTGCTACAAATTGTGCTACAAATTGTGCTACAAATTGTGCTACAAATTGTGCTACAAATTAAACTCTGTATCATGCTAGATATGCCCTGAAAGAGCTGCCATTTATGCAGGGGAAAAATCTAGAAGAAACTTAATTTTACACTTCAATGCCCAGCTTTCCTGTCCTCTGACATTCCCCAACAGAGTAGTTTTGCCAACCTGTACCAAAATTTTGCTTAATCTAATCCAGCATGTCTATTATCTATAGTTTTCAGAAATTTAAAAGAACCTGCAAATTGAATTTAAAAAAAAAAAAAAAAATAACAACAACAACAACAACAACAACTTTGAACTCAAAAGATTAAGGCTTAACTAGTGATTTTATCTACTTTCATTTTATCCTTCTTTTGGCTGGATAAATGATACAGTACACAGTCCCATCAAAAGAGTTTACAACTATTATTCTCATACCATGAATCAGTAAATATTCCATGTTCACAATTGAACCCATTAAAAAGAGCACAAATCCAGTATCTAATTATGACTCAGTCGTACATTCCCATTGTATAGCTATGCAGATTTCTATTGTGAAATATTGTATAACAGAAGATATAAATGGCATAAACCTAAAGAGAAAATTAGCTCATAGTTTTAATAGAATGTATGTTTTGAATGTTTCAGAAATGCAAATAAACTTTCTTTATATTGCTATAAATTGTTTCTATTCCAATTATTATAAAATTGGTGGTTACCACAGAAATCTCTAAGAAATCAATTTCAAATTGTTAATTATCCAAATTATTTTCCTAATCAATACCTGTATTTTTGAAAAGACTTAATTTTTAAGAATATGTTATTAAAAATCTATCATTTGAAATACAATTTAAGAAAAGATATGTAATAAATAATAAAAAAATAAAAAAAAAGTAATTTCTTTAGTTTTCTGAACTCTAATCCTTTTCTCATACTGTAATTTAATTTAAATTGTCATAAGAACATTTAAAAAAACTGTATTTATTTTTATTATATGATGTTATGGAAGAATTCTTTAAAAAAGAAAATAGAAAATGTATGAATATAAAATGGTATTGAAAACGTGTTATGAAAAACGTGCCAAAGCTCCTGTCAAAAATAGTAACATGAAATAAAAATATACAGAATCATTTTTACCCCAAAATTTATTCTCATTTAATAATAAAATCAAATTGAATATTATCTGCAAGAGACCTCCAAATAAAATGTAAGTCCTAAATTCAGCAGAAACGTGTAGGTATATAAGACCACTAAATATTTTTCATAAACTCACCAATACTGCCTGTATCCACATCATCCAACAAAATGGTACCTTCCAGCTCAGCCAATCTGAAGAGAGCACTGATAAGAGAAGATTTGCCAGCTCCAGTGCGTCCAACAATTCCAACCTTATATCACAAGAAAAAAAAAATTATTAGCTAAAGTGATGATCAATTGGACCATCTGGTTATAATATCATTTGATGCATAATGCAAATGGATATCATATACAAGTAGTTAGAAATCTGGATAAAACTACAATGTTGTCCTAATTCTTTCTGAAGAGAAAACGTTAACTATGAAGATAAAGGCTATAAATATTCCATTTTATGATATTTTAAAGGCTATAAATATTCAATATTATGAGATCAATGAAATATTGAACTTCTAAAAACTGCCTCCAACAGAATGTTTTACATTTATATAATGTTAAGCTACTGTGCTTAAGATGTAATGAGTTGCATCAACATGAATAGAAGTTACTTGCATATTTTTATACAATGTACCTTGTGCATGTGCAAGTCATTATTCTCAATCTGTAATATAGTATTTTTCAAACACTGATTCTTCTTGGTGCTACAAGAATCAAATAATTGAATTTTTTCATGTGTATGTCAGAACTTTCCTGACCAAAAAAAAAAGGGGTTGGATTTTTCCAAGAAGCCAAACAAGGGGCACTGCTTAAGGAGAGGCCTTGAACATGTTTTTAACTTTTTCCTCAACTGCACATAGTAGAGAGGAAGTACAGAGAACTGTGCCGGCACTGCACATGGGCAGACTGGGATATCGCCCAGGGTCGCGTAAGTCAAGGGGTCCGGAGGGGGGGGAATAGTAAGAAATTGAAAATGAAATTAGAACTCAATAAAATCATTGTCATAATTTTATAAGTCAAGGTACAGTAGTTTGACAATTCAAAACATTTTGAATTAATATTTTACCTTAAATAGTTATTTATAGTTATTACTAAGGTAGGTCTCTATGAAATTAATCTAAGTATGCAACAGTAGGTTCTACTGAAATTCATATTTATTAGTTCATGTATTCAACAAGTGGCTTTATTAAACCCCCACTAAACACAACAAAAATGTTTAATTGTTTTAAGCCCACAATGATAATTGTATTACTTGCTCACTAAATACTTTTACTTAAAAATATTATTAAAAATTTTTAAACAAAACTAACTTCCTCAATTAAAGGTTGTAATATTTGTTAAAAATAAAATGACCATATAGTTTCTTGTCACAACTTTGACTTTTCGTGTGTGTGTGTGTAGGGGGCTAGCTGTAGCATTGCCCCGGGCGCAAAACTGTCTAGCTCTGGTACTGATAGAGAAGAACAATGGGTTCAGTCCAAAAATCAAGAGTTGAAGTTATTGAGGTAAAAGCATTTAGAGGATGAAATGAAAAAGTTATTTTTTACCATAATGCCTTTATGGATGGATGAACGGATGTAGGTGCATGTCTGATGCAAGGCAATTGGTCAGTTGATGCCGCAGCATGATTGATGCGGCAATGACCACACAAAATTTTAAAAAGAATTCATTTTCGACTTTTAGGGAAGAATTGAATATTGAATGTTCAAATAAGACACAGTAATAGTAAAAAAGAATGCTGTGAACAAGTCATGAAAAAACAAGATGCTTGCAAAGAGGTAGCCAATATTGGTGAAATTGGGTGCTTGCTGCCGCTCTTTGCAGCTCGTCTGGCCACTTCGTGATGTATTCTTTGATTCCCAGACACATTGTCCAGAAAAATTTCATTCACATTATTTACATCAACTATGCATTTTATTTCATTTCGAATTTTAGTCCAGAAACATGGGGTATCCATAAAAAATACGTCAACTTATTTTTGTCCAGTTGTGTGTGATCCACCAGGCATTGTCCACCTTCCATCACATTGAAATGTTCACTAACATTGTGTCCATTTTATAAAATTTTACTCTGTAATAATTAAAGTCTATTTAAAAAGAAATACATATTTTATTGAGTTACAATATTATACAATTAAATATTTAATACTTCTCCATTGCTCTCTTTAGTATTATAAAATTTCATTCTGTGGCTAATGCTATGCTAAATCTATATTATTATTTTCAGCATATTATTGATATCGGTCTACAATATTTCAACTTGATGTTGATTCATAATATATGATTTTCTAAAGGGATATCTGAATTTCCTATGACCGTCAGTAAGTTGTAATGAGAGGATTTCATTGACCTTTGATCTTTTTTTATAAAGTCTAAAAATTTCCATATTGTTGCATAATGTGTTATGATCAGCTTCTGAAATTTTGAGTGCCAGCCCTCCACAAAATTATTTTTTCTTTTTGCTTAATTTAACACACGCTTATAATACATTCCATAATTTTTGAGGAAATCGAGATGACACTGCCTTCCTCCTTCCTCTTGCAGGTCTCCTCAGATAAATTGTTTCAAAGAACGTCATAAGATCTTGTATATTGTCGTGACTTATTTCTAAAAAATAATCAAACACCTCTTCGATGTTGTTGAGAGATACGAATATATACAGTGGACGAATTATTTATGGACAAAAAAGTGAACGAAATGTCTGTGGGCCAAATTAAAGTGAATTTTATTACAGTGGTCTAAGTGTCCTGGAAGCTATTCTTTACTACCTCGCTACAGCTTACACAATACAATGAAAGTTATGCAAAAGGTGCGCGCGAAAACTGCGACTTATCGGCAGAAAAACTCCTATTACAGGGCCCAAGCGGATAAATACAGTTGCTAAATTTTGATGAAGAAAAAATCCTCCAACAAGTGGCATAGCCACAATCCATGTTTTGGGGGACCTTGATACAGAAAAATCGAAACGGCAAGATGCCTTTCTGTCCGTCTATGAATAACGCTTGCGGCTAAACCATTCAGCCGATTTTCTCCAAAATTGATAATCCCCAATCCATCAGTCGGTCGCGGTCCTGATGTCGCGGCCTCTTGAATTTGAAATCTATATTTTAATTTTATATATGTACTTTACATGATGCCCCTGAGACATTTTCAAAATAAAATAAATAAATAAATTTATTTAAAAAAGGCTTCATTGTTTTTGATTAAATTTTGTTGTTGGGTAGTGTGAAGGACGTTAAAGGGAATAGTGCAGGTCTCATGATCGTTAAAAAGTCTAATTTTTCGAAAATTGCTCAAGTTGAACATTTTTTTCGAATCTTCCTACAACTAAAATAATAAAGATAGAGATTTTTCCCTTAAAATTCTTTCCTAAAGATAGATTATCAAGTAAGGTAACGTATAATTTTTCGAAAATTTATTTTTGCATAATTTTGGGTGGAAATAAATGCGCGAAAGCACCACTAGTTGCATATTGCGATAAGTACTTGCCATCATAGCTTTCTGAGAGTCTCGGCTGTTGGGCCGTTTCCAGCCATACGCGGTAAAACGCGCCATTATGAGGTAGTATGAACTTGTGAGTGAAATGGAGCATTGTTTTTGTATGTTTCCTGATTTCTTAAGAGATTTAATAGTTCTTTAAATGATGTGATGCATACTTTAAAAAAACATGAGTACTCGATGAGCAATAACACACAGACGAGTATAGTAATGTAATTTCTAGACCAATGACTCTCGACTATATCAGGTTTTTTGTCGTTTCCCTGGTCCTTTGATGAAATGCTGAGATGGCCCCTTGCTTTGCTTTTGGACAGTAAATGTAACTTCACGTCATTCCTCAAGAAGACGTGCGCAAATGTACTCCCTCCACAAACATCATTTTCACTCGTCATACACGACTAATTTTATGTAACTCACGAAATAACAACCACAATGATAACGTTAACAATAACACAATAACACACCAACACTAACACAATTATAATAATAAATAATAATAATAAAAATGAAAATAAATAATAATAATAATAATAATAATAATAATAATAATAATAATAATAATAATAATATTAATAATACTTGAATGGTTGCTCAAACCACGCCTGCTATGGCGATTCGCGCTGGCGGAAACCTATCGGACAGTCTACTGTTTTAGGACTGGGCAATCTACAGCGGACGCAGCCCAAGTTGTAGTGGAAGCCGTTGAAGTCACACGGCTGGTAATCCACCACTCCCGCGAAGTAGTGCTGGTAGCAGCACAGACGTGCGGAATGCTTTCAACTTTACTAGGTGAACGTATATCATGATGACTCTGGAGAAGAAATTTAAGTTGCCACGCTACACCCTACGAATCCTCGACGAATACTTGAGGGAGAAAGAACTAGTCTACAACAGTGCAGACGGTCCTCGCAACGAAGACGAAGGATCACGTGCTTGGCCTTACTACGGAAAAGACAGAACTTGTCCTTTCGACGAGAAAGCAGATTCCGACGCTGATTCCCAGAATTGTCGATAGCGAGGTTATCCGAACAAAGCAGTCCCTGCTCTATTACTAGCGTTTCTGCATTTGCCCTTTCGCCCTTCGCTTTATCACGGGGAACACACGGCCTTTGGTGGTGCGACCAAATGGGTGGAGGCCGAACGCCGTGGAACGCTGCGCCGCGACCGAGGAAGTCCGAGGAGAATAGCAATATTTTGTCTTCTTCTGGCTAGGTGCAACTTAATTTTATGAGTTTCGTGTATTATTTAAAGTACAAAAGTTCAGTCAATTATTGATGGAATTTAATGCATTATTCGTGATGTTTAGAGAATGTGTAGGGTTCTGGAACTTAAAAAGACATACACAATTCTACTTCTCCGCCCAAAGGTGATTGAAATTGTATGCGACTCAATAAATACCATCATATCATCATCACCATCATCATCATCACCACCACCATCATCATCACCACCATCATCACCATCATCACCATCATCATCATCACCACCATCATCACCACCATCATCATCACCATCATCACCATCACCATCATCACCATCACCATCATCATCACCACCATCATCATCACCACCATCATCATCACCACCATCATCATCACCACCATCATCATCACCATCATCATCACCATCATCATCATCATCACCTCCACCATCATCACCACCATTATCATCACCACCATCATCATTATTATTATTGAGCATAATTATCGTTGTCATCATCATTGCCGTCATTGTCGTCATCATCATAATAATTATTATTACTATTATTTTATTTCGTATAAGATCTAAACATTAAATATACCGGTATGTTAAAGGGCAGCAAAACAACATTCTTACCTTCTCTCCAGCCATAATAGTGAAGTTAAGATTCTTCAATACAGCTGCTTCTGAAGCATTATATTTTAATGACAGTTGATCAAAAACAATGTGGCCTTTCTGTGGCCAATCAGGTGGAGGTTTCTTTCCTATACAGTAGAAAATAACATTTTTTGAATTGCTCAAATCAATTATCATTACAAAATATATAAACCTAATAAAATCTATACTGATTTTGTAGCCAAATTTATGTTTAAAAAAATGTTAGTGTAAATTTAGAAGGTCTTCATTACTCACCTGGAGCTGATTCAAGTGGAGGTTCTTGTTCTACATTCTTGTACTCCATAATTCGTTCCACAGATGTCATCTGATTTTCCATCTCAGCTGACTGACGCATTCCCCATTGAAACATACCAGTAAGAGCAATTGCCTGTGTGATTGCCAGTCCCACATTGCCACCAAAAACATCTAAAAACAAAATGAAAGAGTTATCATTATCCTACAAAAAATGGCCAGCAAAAAGAGTTCTAATCTTTTGGTAAAATATTGTTGCTGTTGTTGTTGTTGTTGTTGTTGTTACTGATGATGATGGTGATGATATTGTAAATGTCACATTGTGGATTTCATTATTTAATATACACTGTGATTGAATTACCAATGTATGAATTTGCAAGACAAATTTTTTTTATCTGACATAATAAAAAAGCAAAACTTGAACTATTAGAGAATTAATCACTTACTTGTTCCTATAATTAAGAAACTGAAAGTTACTATTGTGATATATGCCACACAAATTATATCCAGCCAAAATCCAAAGGCACGAGATGTAGCAATAAACACATACCAGGCAGATGAATGAAGGTCCTGAAATGAAGAGTACATACAAATAACTAATAAAATATTCTATTTACTAACCAAAAAAATTCCATTAGATGCTTTGAACTGCTTTACCTGATGATTATCAAACTCTTTGACAAGAATATTTTCTGCTCCAAAGGCACGAATTGTAGTAAGGCCTTGCAAAGATGCATTCATATGAGAGAAGACTGGACTGCGAGCTGCAACGCCATATTTCATTAATTTACTCAATACAAGAATTCTAATATTTCAACAAATCAAATAGCAAAAGATAATTATATCAATTGGCAAGATATTTAGGGAAACCTTCCTAACTCAAACATTAAATAACACATTGTTAAAAGAAACAACAACCAGCTGGACCCAAGTAAGTATTCTGTGCTTTGTAAATCATTGTTCCCAAACGAACGCCTCTTATTTCCCCACATGAATGCTTGATGTTCCCCATGTGAACACTCGTGTTACCTACATGTTTGTCACAAGTCCCCTCAATGTTAACTCAAAAAATAAACTAGATATTCAAAAATTTTATGAAAGTGTTTTTTACTATGAAATACTTTTATAAATATCATGGCAACAGATAGTGTAGTGGCCTCCACAGCAGTTGAAACAATCCCCCTCCCCTTCCAAAGTTTAGAAGTAAAAATAGCTTCACACCGGAAACCTACATCCAGCATTTCTGGCAAACTACTTTGGGGTGAAGGAACCATCCAAAAAGGGGTCAATTTTTTTTAAAATTAAGCCAGAAAAAATATACCTCAGGTCTCTAAAGGAACAAAAACAACAACAAAGGTCAAAGTTCTTTTTTTCTGAATTACGCACAATGGTGAAGTGTGATACAGAGTAACATGTTTTGCAGGTTGCAGTTCACCTGATTTCCAACTAAGCTGTAATCTCCTAACTTCTATATTTCTTGTCTTTAAATGTCTTTAATACATGTATAAGATGGGGGAGATTTTAACTATACAGGATCTCCAGGGAGGAAACAAAACTTTGAAAATAAGCTCTTACGACAATCTGAGCATATTTTATCTGCTAAACTCCTTCGATATTTCAAATGGCTGAGCCGCAATAAGGACTCCAAAGTTGGTTTGAAAAAATACTTTATATGCAAAAGTTTGCGTATCAGAAACATATAAACACTCCAGAAACATGTAAATTGTTTATTATTTTCAAAAGAAAAGAATAGATTTTGTTTTCAAAGAGAAATTAACACCTTCCAAACTCTGTTTTTATTCCTCTCAGTTAATACAAATCTCGTTCTCTTTAAGTATTCAATTTTTAAAATCAATAATATAATATTTTCTAAGATAAAGTATACTTACTGACTCCTTCGAGACGCTTTACACTTCTTGAAGTTGACAGATAGAACTGCCGCATAAGATAAAACATAAATCCTATAACTAAAGTAGGAATAAGGAGCCAATAGTTTACAACTGCCAGTACTGCAATTATGCCCAGCAGAGCTAATCCAATTTGGAGTGTGTCCACCATACACTGAGGCAATATCTCATCAACAGCACCCATATCCTTTGAGAAACGATTTAGGATCCTTCCTGGAAACAAACAATAGCACTACAAGTTATCAAATACTTACAATGAATTTTTCTTCAACAATGTTCTGTTTATTGCCAATTTTCAACCACTATCCTCATTACTTGTAACATGTATTGAAAACATATTGTACACTATGCTTCAGAAATATCTATAAATCAATATCAATCACTTCTGCAAAACAATAAACAAGTAGGTATCTGAAGTCCTAAAAAGGTCTGCACAGAAAAAAGGGACTTTCAGAATTATTATCAAATGAGTATCAAATTGTTATAATTTGTCGCTGCACCATTCAAAATGTCAATGTAATAGGACTAGTAAGTTTGAATAACTTTTTCTTTTAGATTTCATTGTTCTTTCAAGACACAAATTTCATTTTCTGCCACATATTAGTGAATAAATTCTCACACAAATGATTCCCTCTAAACCAGAATCATTGGGACAAGACCTTTGACTTCTTTTAAGGTAAAGTGAATTTGAGCATTTCTTTTGGACGCAGGTGTAGCTTCACTATCCCACTATCCGCACACATTTTGTTCAGGTCTTTTTTTTCCACCCCATCAATTCTATCAAACCAAATCTGTAATTTATTTGTGATGCAAATACTTTGTGTTACATGGGAGTGAACATTTCAAGTTTTCAAATGTTACCAATCATGTCTGTTGGTCTAAAGAAAACTTGCACATATTATACTACTCCCTCATACATCACATTCATTCTTTTATTTTAATTAAATTAAAATAGATACCTTTGATTTTCTTACACTGAACTAATTTTTGTTATTAATATTTGATTAGTTTAGTTAGACATTTCTGATGAAATATTTTATGAAATAGGTAACAATATTTTTTTAAACCATTTTCAAGTAGGTAGTTGAAACAAATTCAGTCTCATACCTGAAGGATTTGTATTGAAGAAGCGCATTTTTGCATGTGTGACACAATAGAACATAGCATCATGCAACCTCTGAGAAGCTCGAATGCAAACTTTGAAGAAAACAAAAGAACGAACCAAGGACAAAACCACTACTGCTCCAATGATTCCTGCGTATATATAAATGCAATCCTCTCGTGACAGCATCTTTTCCTCTAATCCTACGTCATCGAATGTATCACTTGAATTTGAAGAGTTGTTTTGATTCCAAGCAGAATATTGCTCAGCTCTAGTCCTAAAGACAAAGAAAATAATAACATTACAAAGATTATACAAATAAAGAAATATTTGAGTCACTGCTTTTTTCTTTTAAGTTTCTACTATGACATAAAGGGGAAAAACAGTCCAAAGTAAAAGTTGCTAGTTACATAAAAAAGTGTATCCCATTTGAACAAGGATGCAAGAAATCATGTCATTATTCTAAAATGTCATGACATTTTATTAACAGTTAAGAAATCATCTTACCAATATGTAATCCAATAATCAGCTCCACTAGCAGCCACTTGAGCAGCAGCACATAGAACAAACATCATAAAAATTACACAACAGTTGCCACCAGCTGCAAAATAGCGTGTATACACATGGCCAGCAACCGTGCCACGGCTGCGAGATTCTTCTTCCTCCAATGGAACTTTTATTGACTTCTCATCTACACTAGACATACTCTAGAACAAAGAAACACCATTAAAACTTTCTATAACAATGTTTAATACAACTATACTATTTTTCAAATGCTAGAGGCAACAACTTACTGCTCGAGAAGTGCGAAGAGGTGTTGAAGTACGTTCTTTTTTTGCAGCTTCAACTGTATCATTGGAATCATTCTCTATGAGTTGAGAGAGATCAGTACCTGACTCCTGGAGCTCCACAAACGTACCCTCTTGTCGCACTGAGCCCTGAAGAAATACACAAAAATCTAGATAGCTACACCAAAAGGAACAGGGGAAAACTATAAAAGCTGTTCTGTGCAACAGTGGCAGCATATGCCAGTCATATGTTGGTGTTAGAACCAAGTTTTTGCTATTTCAATATACAGGTTATTTTTTTATATAATAAATAATAAACAGCAAAAGGGTATGAAAACTGGCATCATACAAATAACAAATGCACGAATGATCATTGTGCGGCTCCGGGAAGAATAGCTGCTGAAGATGGGCAGTGCAGCGACCATGGCAAACACATCGGTTGAATTTCCTTTCCTTCCCAACAAATATTCAAGGTTCTGAGTACACCTTTCGTTCAAAAGGATCAATCAAAGGGACACAAATATAACCGGTATGTTATCATTAGCAGTGCCGTTCATCCGTCAGAGTAGAAGAACTTCGATTTTTAACAGGCGCATACTTGTGCAATGTATAGTAGCATAACTCTTCCAAAATACATCCAGGGGCGCCCAGAAGGGGGCAACTGGAGCAACTTTCTGATCTAGCTCATCCTTAAAGTAATTTATGATTAGTTACTGTGTTACTTCATGAATAATCTATTGGTTTTCGACAATTTAACTTTGCTCTTTTACAATACAGATCCCCTTTCTAACTTACATGAAACACATAATTCATATTTCCGACAATTAACTGTTTATATTACACATCGGTGAAACATCAAACTTTATGCTATCAAAATGTTGGCCCTATTAGTATGTTATTGTTTATATTTAATTAATTTTTGTTTATATTATTTATGTATAATAAATATTATTATTATAATAGTTTATAATTTATAACAGAATGAATAATGAATTAAGGTTAACACAAAAATACAAATTTTAATAGTTGTGTAAGCATCGTTAAAAGTTCCTAAATTCAAGAAAGGAGGAAGAAATGCTTGATCCATGGTGGGATGAGATCCCCCTCCTCCCCACCTCCACGTAATAATGATGGAATTCTTAGCTACTTTCAAAAATCCACAGTCCCTTACAGACAGTTAAATTTGTTGATGGAGGCAACTGGGCCACACTGGCACATTTATTGTGAACCTCCTGTCTCAATTTCATTTTTTTAATTTGATTTATTTTTGTCAAAAATCGTAAAAACCGAGTTTCATGTATGACCGAGAATATTATATGTGTATGATTATATGAGGTCCAAATGAGGCCCAAAGTCCATTTATCAACCTTTTTTTTAATACATAGATTGATGATGAATAAAATACCAACAAAGCGAGATTAACAAGATATGAAAACTAGAAATTTCGCTCCTTAGTTACATAACTTTTAACTCAATATTTGTATTGATAAAGTAACTATATATTTGATATTAGTTTTCCATTTATTTCGTACCACCAACTTATGAGGACACCTGCCGCCACTCTTATACATCATTCTATGTCAAAAATGTATCGTTTTGCTAGTACTTACATTCTCCATTACATAAATCTTGTCTACATCCTTGAGATACTGCAACTGATGTGTAATGAGTACTACTACCTTGCCTGCAAGGTATCCTTTAATGCATTCATCAAAGAGATGTTTGCCCACATGTGAATCCACTGCAGACAGTGGGTCATCAAGCAAGTAGATATCAGCTTCCTTATACACAGCCCTGAATATACAATACAAGTTTAAACATGGTGAGTCACAAGCTTACAAAACCGTAAAGAAAAAAAAGAAAAAAGAAAGGAAAATACAAATGAATAAACTGCAATTTAGAATTGCATTTTAACAATTTATAATACAGTATCTTCATGGACTATCTGCCACCAGAAATCTTTTAAAACTGATCTATTGTCTTACCAACTATAAAAATGAAAGTAATACAAAATAAACAATAAAAAATTACAAAAAGTAGGTATGTTTAAAATAAAATATAAACAATTTAATATAGTGGATCTTAATCAATTGAATCAAATTGTTATCTAGTCCAAATGTACTGAACCAATACTAAGAGCTTGTATGTCTAACACCAAAAATGTTTAATAAAGTGATGTTAAGACTTTTGTAAGCCAATACATGACAAAGTGATGAATGAAGATTTCAAAATAGACCATTTTTGCATCCAAGAGTGAAACGATAAAGCAGAGGCCACTCACCTGGCAAGATTGATGCGGGCACGTTGTCCACCAGAGAGGGATATGCCTCGTTCACCGACGATAGTTTTGTCACTGTAGGGAAGCTGCTGAAGATCAGTGCGTAATGCACATGCACTTAACACCTGCAATAAAGAGAAGCAGTGATGAAATAATTGGAAGTTCGTGTAACAAACGATATTAGTACAATCAAAGTAGTTATCAAAAAACAGCCTATTCTGTCCTCACAGATTCTTAAATGCAAATAACAGTTAAGGTATGAATATAAGTGGAATCTTTGTAGTCAACCTGGCTAAACTGGAGCTCTCTCATTCACTCGGCATAGCAGCTTCTGCATATTAATTTTCATTTCTGTGGCACTTTGGTCTGAGACTTGAACAGATAAAAATCACTGATGCTTCTTCAAACAGGAAAATGAACATTTACTATCACAAACAGATGAAGCATACCCTGTACCATCAGTATTTTCTCTTTTACATCCTATTAGAATATATTGAAAAAGAGAAGAATCGTGACTTTATTGATCTAATTACCTTCACAATCTTGCATCAAAATTTCTAGAGGAAGCAGATGCCAGAGGAACTCCAAGAGCTCCATGACCAGGAGCGGCTGACAGACGTTATCGCATGCTTGATAGACGTCAGGTGCAGCCAGTTCCAGAATGTCAGGATCACATTAATACCTAGAAGGAAAGCGACTTCCTAAATCTGAAGCCTTCCAGCATCATGGACTTTCCATTATTAATCTTAGCATTGCAAACCGTTCATTTTTGAAGGGACAAGTAGCCTACACATAAATTGTGACATTATGAAATTTTGTTTATTTTCTCTAGCTCATATTTCCATAAGCATATTGAGTGTGTTCATTGTACAGTACAATCTTCCATGTAACAAAATCACAATTTCTTTTATTATAGGCAACGATTAGATAACATATTATTGTGACTTCCCTTCTACTCTACTTTCATTAAGTACAACTTTTTTAAAATTGATTGTCTGTCAATGAATTCAGAGTATATTTTTAAAATGTTTTAAGTAAAACAAACACACAAACAAACAAGCCAGCCAAAAACAAACACACAAACAAACAAGCCAAAAACAAACACACAAACAAACAAGCCAAAAAAACAAACAAACAAGCCAAAGCCAAAAAAAAACAAACAAACAAGCCAAAGCCAAAAAAACAAACAAGCCAAAGCCAAAAAAAACAAGCCAAAGCCAAAAAAACAAACAAACAAGCCAAAGCCAAAAAAAACACAAAAACAAGCTAAAGCCAAAAAAAACAAAACAAGCCAAAGCCAAAAAAACAAACAAACAAGCCATAAACAAACAAACAAGCCAAAAAAAGCAAAAAAAAAACAAAAAAAAAACAAACAAACAAATTTATGCCAGCTCAGATTCGAAACGAGGGATGTGGATGAGACACCCACATCTTAACCATGGTGCTCTAATAAGAGCTGCAAATTTCTGTATTTTTATGCGAATGAAACCTAATTCTGCTTTGAGTTATATTATTTGGTTTTTTCAAGTGATGGTTGAAGTGCAAATAGGATAGAAGTTGCCATGTTATAAGATGACTTTTCCAATAATACGAGAAAGTATGTATTGTTGGAGCGCCTCTAGACATTCCATTATTTTACATTCCTTAATTTAACTCGCACCAATGTTGGTAGCAGTCTCGGCAAATCTCGGCAAACTTGGGGTATTCTCACAAAACGAGGAACCTGAGCACGCAAGTTAATTTTATGCATACCACACCATTTATGCGTACTACAGAGAGTGTTTTAGGTTTTCCAACTGATACTGCCTAAGTTTTGTTCTGGACATACTACATTTCATTTACTGTAGCTTCACTATGAGCACGTGTTGTTGATATCTCCTTTTGGTAGTAGTGGTAAGAGTAGGGCCAGGGGTGTGGTGGTTATTTTGTTAGCAATACTAAAATATCAAATCTGTAGTTCATTTACAGATGCAAAAAAGTCTTCTATAGATTTATATTTAGATTTAGATTTATTCAGTCAAAAAATCAGTAAAAACTGTATGTGACGTAGGGGGGGAAAAATTATCTGCGCACGTTTTCTTGAGTACCAGAATTCCTTCCGGTAATTTAAACTATAAATAGTTGAAAGGTGAGTAAAAGTTTAACATAAATAAATAAATAAATTTTAAACATTGCAATATTAGCAATATTTGAAAAATAGTATAATGCGGGAGCAAAAATTTCTAGTTTTCAAATGTTGCTAACTTCGCATTGTGGGTTTCATTGCGTGATGTTTCCAGGCAAGCCAATTGCTATGATCATCAGTTCTTTTAATATGGTTAATTCGTTCTGTTTCGGTGTTCTCCCTCCCTATCTGGCACTGACCTACATGTCAGTGATTTCCTCTCCCCCAATGGGGAACCACTTCTAGGGACAAACTAAGCTCCCAACATTCCATCCTTACGTGTGTTACTGTAGTGCATGCAAGAGGGAAGGACAGGACGAAGAAGAGTATGAGAATGGGGGCTAGGAGATCAGGAAAAAGGGGCAAGACGAAAAGTTCGGTCGGAGGCTAGTTTGTCAGAATACTAGTCTGCCATTGATGAAAGAAACTACGGAACACCAGGAGCAAGTCAGTCGCTAGAATTCTCAACCAGTGAGTGGATGGATTTGACGTAGCTTTCTGGCAGTGCCGAAAATCAGTTTCTTTCGAGATTCGAACCCTAGAACCTCCCAGTCAGAGTTAGCAGAAATGCTGGCTTGAGTTGAATTAAGCCAGTCGCTTTGTTAACTTTGTTATTCATCATTCAAGTAAGTTTTTGGGAATGTTGGCAGTCCATAAATTACGTAGCGCAAAAGAGTATTTTCAATACCCCATGTGAGTAGTTTGAAGGTTTGTTTTAAAGAATTTTTCATTTATGCCGAATGTTATACAATGTATTTTTATTTGCTAAGTTAAGTTACAAAGTTATTTTACTAACTTTAAGTTAATATTTATAATGTTAACATCTGATTTATCCAAGAAATTTCATTAATATAGAAGATTAGTAAAAATTTCATTTCTCCAATGCATCATTGGCTTCAGGGGGAGGGGTGAAGCTCATGGAGCCCAAATTGGGTGCGCCAGTGACACCAGTAGATATCATCACTATCCATTTCAAGACCTCTGTAGAACCTAGAGGACATGGAGCCCTTGACCGTACGATACCGTAAGAGGGAGAATTCTGTTGATAGACACCAATGCATTAGAGACTTAAATGTAATTTTTGAGTGGAAGTTCACAAAAGAAGAAAATTAGGGTCAGCGAGTTAATTCATTCTAATCTGCTGTGTTAATTTTTCCTTCAAACAATTTTACAATAGTTTATTAAATTTTTCAAAATTTATTCCAAACAAATTTCATTCATTGATCACATCCTATCCAAAGGAATATTCAGGATTTGACTAATTCCAATTTCGAGTTATTTTTTACGTTACTTCAAAATCACTTGGATAGGGGCTAACTAAAATTACGCCCTTCCGCTTTAAAATGGTTACTGAAGCCGCTGCAGTAGGAAATAAGCATGTTTGAAACAATTTTCGGCAACAAGTATAAAACTAATTTTTCACGTAGAGGTTATTATATATATATATATATATATATATATATATAT